TGGTCCGCAGAGAGCTTCCGCTGTATCAGAGGGATCTAATTTTTAAAAGGTATCAGTCAGGAGAAGGGTACAAAAGAATTTCCAAGGCATTAAATATACCATGGAACACAGTCATCATCAAGTGGGAGAAAATATGGCGCAACAGTGACATTACCAAGAACTGGACGTCCCTCCATAATTGATGAAAAGACAAGAAACTGGTCTGGGAAGCTGCCAAGAGGCTTATAGCAGCATTAAAGGAGCTGCAGGAATATCAGGCAAGTACTGGCTGTGTGGTACATGTGACAACAATCTCCCGTATTCTTCATATGTCTGGGCTATGGGGTAGAGTGGCAAGATGGAAGACTTTTCTTACTAAGAAAAACATCCAAGTCCGGCTACATTTTGCAAAAACACATCTGAAGTCTCCCAAAAGCATGTGGGGAAATGTGTTATGGTCTGATGAAACCAAGGTTGAACTTTTTGGCCATAATTCCAAAAGATATGTTTGGCACAAAAACAATATTGCACATCACCAAAAGAACACCATACCAACAGTGAAGCATGGTGGTGGCAGCATCATGCTTTGGGGCTGTTCTTCAGCTGGAACTGGGGCCTCAGTCAAGGTAGAGGGAATTATGAACAGTTCCAAATACCAGTCAATATTGGCACAAAACCTTCAGTCTTCTGCTAGAAAGCTGAACATGAAGAGGAACTTCATCTTTTCAGCATGACAACGAACCAAAGCATACATCCAAATCAACAAAGGAATGGCTTCACCACAAGAAGATGAAAGTTTTAGAATGGCCCAGACCTGAATCTGATCGAAAATCTGTGGGGTGATCTGAAGAGGGCTGTGCACAGGAGATGCCCTTGCAACCTGACAGATTTGGAGTGTTTTTTCAAGGAAGAGTGGGCAAATATTGCCAAATCAAGATGTGCCATGCTGATAGACTCATACCCAAAAAGACTGAGTGCTGTAATCAAATCAAAAAGGTGCTTCATCAAAGTATTAGTTTAAGGGTGTGCACACTTATGCAACCATATTATTTTAGTTTTTTAGTTTTACTTCCCTCCACCTAAAAGATTTCAATTTGTTGTTCAACGGAGTTGTACAGTTTATAGATCACATTAAAGGTAGAAAAAGTTAACAAATTATTTATTTTCGTCTCAACTTTTTAAATCACAGAGCCTGACATTTTAACAGGGGTGTGTAGACTTTTTATATTCACTGTATGTATGTATATATATATATATATATATATATATATATATATATATATATATATATATATATATATATATATATATATGTCAGGTTTCTATTCCGGTCAGTGTCCCCTGTAGTAGATTTCCCTTCCTGTGTTGAGTGCCATCTTTTCTGAGACAAGAAGGAGTAGAGATAACCCCAATAGACAGCAACAAAAACATGATTTTATTGCTGTGTTCTAATTTGGAAAGATCTCCTCTCGTGACTTGTCCTGGTGACCCACTATGCATTAGGATGTGACAGTCACTGGGATAGGAAGTGTGGGGGAATCAACTGGGAACAAACTCATTAATACAATATAAAAAAATGTTCCAACTCTTTTCCAAATGACATAGGTCAAACTGCTCTCCACTATTTGATAAAAATATTTGAGTGAAACTGAGTTTTAAACCATGATAAAATGCAGGTTTACAGTATTACTGACACCTTTCACTGTGTCTTTACAATTATCAGTATTGTTATTATGATAGGGGATTTACATAGCACCAACAGATTGTGCAGCAGTTTACAAAATGAGGGTGGACAGTACAGTTACAATACAATTCAATACAGGAGAAATCAGAGGGCCCTGCTCATTAGCGTTTACAATCTAAAAGGGAAGGTTAAGAAATACAAAAAGGTAATTACTGTGGGGGATGAACTGATGGAAAAAATAAAAAGTACAGTTGTTAGGTGGAGGTGGGATAGGCTTCTCTAAAGAGAAGGGTTCTCATGGATTGCCTAAGAGTAGGGGATAGTCAGACATATTGAGGTAGGGAGTTCCAGAGGATGGGAACAGCTTGGGATAAGTCCTGGAGTCGAGCATGGGAGATGACAGGGGAGCTTGAGGGCAGGAGATCTTGGGAGGAACAAAGACAACTAGATTTGGTTGGTACTTTGAGACTAGGTTAGTGATGTAAAATGTGTACCAACATGTGAAATTACATTGTCGCGCTAAACAAACCACAGTGTGTATTATAAATCAAACACATAAATATATATATATATATATATATATATATATATATATATATATATATATATATAAAAATCCCAGATAGGAGAAACAATAGTCCCAATTTGTGAACAGTGTGGCAAGGAGATCCTATCAACTGGATGTTCACAACACCAAAGTGTGTCACTACCCTGAAAATATAGAACTCTTACCAGACCATGTGGACTCTTTATGTATAGAAAAGCTTGTGTGTCAATACACTGTCTGTTGAGAAATAGGTGCTGCCTCTGGGTCACCAATCCACATCCAATAGGACAGGGTAGTCAGCCATAGCATATAAAGAAGACCAGGAACACCAACATAGTGTAGTAAAAACGTAACGTATATAAATGTTTTTATTGCAAAAGTACTAGCCACTCACATAATAAAAACAACAAGCGCTTATCTGTAATACCAATCGTGGGATTCACATAAGTCACTTCCTGATAACAGTGTACGTGGTGACGCCAGGAGCAATGACTCCCTACATGTTTTGTCACATCTGACGTCACATTTTGATATGCATTTTATCTGATTGTTTTTTCCTGCTCTTGTTTCTGATCTTATAGCGCAATTTCTTTTATTTATGTATAGGTTAGTGATGTAGCTGAGGGCAGAGTTGTGGATGGCTTTGTAAGTTGTTAGTATTTTGAATTTAATTCATTGAGTGAATGGAAATCAGTGGAGGGACAGCAGACATTAAACGGTTGATAAGGTGGAGGAGCCTGGCAGTAGAATTCATGATGGACTGAAGGGGGGATAGCCTATATAAAGGTAAGCCAATGAGGATGGAGCAGTAATCGAGGTGAGAGATAACAAGGGAGTGAATTATAAGCTTTGTGCTGTCATTGCTTAGAAAGGGGAGTATTTTGGAGCTGTTTTGGGGTTTGAGGCAGCAAAATTTGGACAGTGATTGTATTGAAAGTCATGGAAGGCTCAGTCAATCCATGGGGGAGGTGTAATTCAAGAATAGGAGAGGTCCAAGAACAGAACCTTGGGGACCTTGACAGAAAAAGAAGAGAACAGGAGGAGGCAGAATTGTAAGTAACACTAAATAATACACACTTCTTACATAGGAATACTTAATGTTGTTTGTTGTGGACTCAGGGCTATGAAAACAGTAAACATCACAGTCTATAGAATTTTCTATTCCTCCAAATTATTTTCAAGCATTACTTTATGAATATTTCATTATCTCCAGTAACTTGATGTTTGTTTTCTGCTTAGTCTGCCATTGATTCGTATTAGCTGGGTTGTTAGAATGTAATTTTAAAGTGTGTCATTAGGTCTTTCCATTAAAGCCAGATTACAACGGTTGCCTTGTTTCAGAAAACATGGCTATAATACTAAAAAATTCTGTTTAAAAAGGGAAACTTAAGGTGAGAGTTGTATTTGCAGACTTTGAGGAAGTCATAGTTTACGCAATCAGTTCCAATCTGACAATCTATACAGGGCAAAACCTAGAATACCCTGAATTTCCCAGTCGAAACTTGGGGACACACATGTGATCTAGGAGAACATTTACAAATCGCCTTTACGTTTTTTCTTTCATTGTTGATTTTTTCAATAACTTTGGAACACTTGAGGTTAATTCCAGCAGAGTGGTATGCAGGACATTTAGGAGGAGTTGCTAGACTTTTTGCTAATTTGGTAACATGCAATCATTTTTTGTTTTTTTTGGCTTGCATAACTCTATGCTACCATTCATATAAAGAAGGCAGCATGTAAACTCCTTTAGTGCATTCTGGCTTTGTATTGATCAAGCAGCATGGGCCCACAGATACGACCTAAGGCTTGCAGTAAGGGGAACATGTTTTTTTCATGCCCAGGCCAGGAACACAGCTCTAATTCAATCAATTATGAAATGTTTACCCTAAGGCCTCATGTATACGGACGACTAGAAGTTGAAAAGTTCTAGTGTAAAATCTACAGTATGTTCCCATACCCAGGACCTGCAGGTGGTGCTCATAGCTGCCCTTACAAATGAATGGCTCTACACAGCCTTACTCGTGTAAATACCAATGGCTCATGAATTGTTTTTACCAGTACATTAATGTACAGTGTATTTCCTCAAATGTGAAAGTGGCATGGTCGTGGACACACTTTGTGTTGGGGATTTTACACCAGAGGACTTTGTAGCCTCTAAAACATCTATGTGAATGAGACCCATTGAATCACAGCTGCAACTGACCATAACATTTTAAGGGAGATTATTTACTCAGAACGTTTATGCTGCTCTGTGTGTCTCTCATACCCTTAACAACCAATTCACCTCAAACCTAATATTTCACTTCTAGGGTAGGCAAGTTAGGTCCCATGACCCACTGACTATTTTGTTTTCAGCAGCAATATTTCTCCACTATATTTTGTGTCTTCATCCTCTCTAAAGGGTAACAATGAAGGTATTATGCTTGCAGCTGGATGCTATATTTATTGTACATTTGGAGAATCCATTAGAGAATCTTAATTTTGCTTTAACGTAAGAGTTGATTGGAACGGTAAGGGTGGATTGATGTGTCTGAAGCCTTAGACAGATTATTATAAGATTCAACTTTCTAGAAAACATGAAAAAAAGAGGCACCAGTTTTGCATTTCAGAAGTGCCAAAGTGTCTGCTTCAGGTATGTCTGCACTATAGGGAGCGAGTGGTACAAGTTCAAAAGTTTTCAGACACAAAAGGGTCACTGTGTTCACTATGATCACTGCATTCCCTGTACTAGCTGTTCTGTCACTAATGTACAGTACATTAGAACAATTTTCTTGGACATGTATCTCTTACCTTCCAGCAGGGCTGCCACTGCCTTCATCTACTTCCCGTTGTTCATTTTTATTTCTTGGTATAGGAGGTTGTATCATTTCAGCAGCTAAAGGGTCAATGTCATTGTCTTCACGTCCCACCCATTCTCCAATCACACAGGGTCTTAGAAGGGAAGAGTTAAATGCCCGTGTGTCCTAGTAAAAGAGCATATGGAATTTATTGAGTAGGCTTTGCATTCACAAACCTAAAATAAGAAAGTTAAAATAAGAAAAGTATAAGGTGGACAAGAACTCAAAACAGCATATCTGACCCCCTAAGGCACAGTATCACTCAGCAGGCACACACATCTATTTGTTAGTTAAACACCATATTTGTTTCCATGGAGATGGGAATGCAGAGCAGATGAGTGACCATAGAAGACATTTCCAGCACTGTGGGAATAACCATAATGATTGTCAGGAGTTCTATAAAATGCCCAAAAAACGAATTTCCCCCACAAGTAGAGCTGAGTAACAGTTGGGAGCCAGTCCAATAAACATGAGATCCCTGTGAAATTGGGCCAATCTAATGGTCATCTAGTCTGCCATTCCTGACTTCCTTATATAAATGTCAGGTGCCTGGCTGTCTCTGGATTTAATATTTACAGTCACTGATCTAGATGAACATGCAGATTATGAAGTCCTTTATTCTGACCTGCATATTTGTTTAAAAAGAGAAATATGGTCAAAGCTATTTTGGCCCTACTCCTTCTGTAGGTCACAGGAGTGCAACTCGCTCTGCACACCCATTACCGGTTTTCAGCTGACAGCAGAAACAAGCGGCAACACTTTTTTTATGAGCATGCAGTTTCCTTACTTTTTTGCATATACAGTGCTTAAGAAAATACTGTCTATTCACTGGAAGCCATGGGTTGTACAATAAGTTCCTATTGAAGTGCTACATGTACTTTTGAGAGCTGGTCGTGCTGCTGCCCTTTTGTTTGTGGAAAATGGCTAAGCACGAGATCGTGTGAAACGCGTTAACAAGTCCTGTATTTATGTCCTGGTGTTTTGTGTGTCCTATGGATCAATAAATACACACTATATTCATCAATCCTCCGGTGTGCGGCTGACCCTTTTTCCTATTGCATCGTGTGTGGTGGCAAGCCAGAGCCTGCACCTGTTGTGGATCGATCTGGATTGTTTGCCTGAGTGGTATACCTTTTGTTCTTTGAAAATGGCTAAGGACATTACCAAAATGCAGCTAATCTCCACTGTGCAGCAATTTCCACAGCTGTGGTATGCTGGTCATGAACTGCATGCTGACCGGTTGCAAACAAGGAGTTCCTGGGATCCCGTGGCTGGAGAGTTGACACCTCGGTGGGCTCAGATGGAATATGGTGCAAAAGCAAAGGATGTGTCCATTTGCGATGATGATGATGAATTGGCCTGTTTTGTAGCTGCATTCTGCGAAATAGCAGTCTCCGCAATATAAGCAGTAGCACCATTTCATGAATCGTTAAAGTAAGGGAATCCATGATGATTGCAGTAAAAAATAAAATGTTCTTTCTGCTCTCACAGTGCTCTTTCTCTCAATCAAAATGGCAACTGGAACTAATTTTGCGATGCATTATGATCATTTGGGAGTGAAAAATGAAGGGAGTGTTTGTGAAAAAAAACACTTATGCTTTTCATTTGAGCTTACAGTGTGCATGAGCACCTAGGTGCCTCCCGTACTTTGTTACTAAAAATCCTCAGATGATAGAAAATGGCAAAACAGTGGAAGAATCACACAGAACACCTGGGCACTATCAAGTTAAACCATACCAAAAGGAGAGCAGAAAAACAAACGTTGTTCAGTGAGGGTGACTCGGGCAATATTTTTGGGTTAGTTACACTTTAAAAGCATGTGAAAACTATTACCTTAACCACTTGCCTACCAGGCACTTATACCCCCTTCCTTACCAAGCCAATTTTCAGCTTTCAGCGCTGCCGCATTTTGATTGACAATTGCGCGGTCATGCAACATTGTACCCATATGAAATTTTGATCATTTTTTTCTCACAAATAGAGCTTTCTTTTGGTGGTATTTAATCGCCACTGGGCGCTTTACTTTTTGCGCTATAAATTTAAAAAGTGCAAAAAATTTGAAAAAAAAAAAAAAGTTTATTTGTTTCTTTTATAAAATGTTTCAAACAGGTATTTTTTCTCCTTCACTGATTTGCGTTGATGAGGCGGCACTGATGGGCACTGATAGGCGGCACTGATGGGCACTGATAGGCAGCACTAAAGGGCACTGATAGGCAGTACTAATGAGGTGGCACGGATAGGCGGCACTGATATGCAGCACTGATAGGCGGCACTGATAGGTGACACTGATGATGGGTACTGATAGACGGCACTGACTGGCATCACTTCTGGGCACTGACTGGCGGCACTGACTGGCACAACCCCTGGGCACTGACTGGTGGCACTGACTGGCAGCACTGCTGGGCTGCACTGGTGGGTGGCACTGGTGGGCAGCACTGGTGGGTGGGCACAGGTGGGTGGCACTGGTGGGCACAGGTGGGTGGCACTGCTGGGCACATGTAGGTGGCACTTCTGGGCACAGGTAGGTGGCACTGCAGAGTGGCACAGGTGGGTGCACTGCTGGGCACAGGTGGGGGCACTGCTGGGCACAGGTGGGGGCACTGCTGGGAACGGGTGGGCGGGGCTAGTGGGCGCACTGCTGGGCGGAACTTGCGGGTGTCACTGTTGGGCACCGATCATCAGGGCACTGATCATCAGTGCCCTGATGATCGGTGCCGATCCCCGCTCTGACAACTGCCGGTTCTCGGCAGTACTTTCCTCACGATCTGACAGCGTGAGGAAAGTGCAGCCGAGAACCGGCACTTGCCTTTCCCTGTGATCAGCGTGTCATTGGACACCGCTGATCACGTGGTAAAAGGCCGGTGGGATCGGCCTTTCACCACATCACGTGATCAGCTGTGTCCGTAGGACACAGCGATCACGGAGATCGCCGGGTGCGCGCCCCCTGGGGCGCGCAGGAGAGCGCGTTCTGGGAGGACGTCATATGACGTCCACTCAGAACTGGCCGGCCGCGGTGAAGCCGTCATTCGGCTATGCGCGGTCGGCAAGAGGTTAAGCAGCGTACAAGATGTATGAAAATTCAGCATCAAATTTTGTTTAATGTTGCTATAAAGTTCAAAAGCCAGTCCTCACTAATTGATGTCTATGGAAAATCATTTATTGTCTCAGCAAAACACAAAGTACAAAAAATAAAATTCCCTGGGCATGGCGTTTTCACTGAGTCAGTTGTGACTGAAACTAAGCATGCAATTAAAAAAATGCAAAAAGGGGGGTGTAGGGGGTTACCTTCGTCAAAAACTGCACATCAAAACAACCCTAGTTTTTTTTTTTTTCTAAAAATAAATTGATTTGTTACACTGCCCTAAATTTTTTAATCCTCCGTACCGGTTTTGGTCTTTTAGTTAACATGACTTGAGGCCTCACTGACCAACAAGGAGGACCAGGAGGTAGTAAGCTCAAAGCTTACAGGAATAGTCAAGATCTGTATGTGCATTTCAGCTGCCTATATCTTTGGATCCATGGATATTTTGACATGCAATTTCTCTAAAAATAGTAACCGCTGAAAGTCGGCCCATTTCATTGCTCAACTCACTTCAGGCATATCATATTAGCTACAATACAAGTAGCCGGGAACTCGGAAAGCTTCATTATGGAAGTCTTTATTGGTTACATCAATACAGGATCCAGAAAGCTGATGTGGTTCAGCTTCACAAAGTCTTAATCATATCATATTACCTATATATCTTGTAGATATACACTCACCAGCCACTTTATTAGGTACATCTGTTCAATTGCTTGGTAACACAAATTGCTAATCAGCCAATCACATGACAGCAACTTAATGCATTTAGGCATCTAGATGTGGTGAAGATGACTTGCTAAAGTTAAAACAGAGCATCAGAATGGGCAAGAAAGGGGATTTAATTGACTTTGAACATGGCATGGTTATTGGTGCCAGATGGGGTGGTCTGAGTATTTAAAAAACTGCTGATCTAGTGGGATTTTCACACACAACCATCTCTAGGGTTTACAGAGAATGACCTGAAAAAGAGAAAATATCCAGAGAGCAGCAGTTGTGTGGACGAAAATGCCTTGTTGATGTAAGAGGTCAGAGGAGAATGGTCAGACTGGTTGCTGAGACATTCAGATGGTAGGGTAAAAATTTGGTGTGTACAACATAAAGCGTGGATCTATCCTGCCTTGTATCAAAGGTTCAGGCTGCTGGTGGTGGTGTAATGGTGCGGGGGATATTTTTTTGGCACTAGTAAGGTGTACCTAATAAAGTGGCCGGTAAGTGTACATTGGAATTCTGTTTCCTTACATTATTCAGTCCTTACATTTTATTTGTGCAAACGTAAGCATCAAATAAATCAAATCATACACTCTTTCCCAACTGGAAAAATAAGACAAGTTCCAATTGAATTTCTATTCACAGAGAACAGAACATCTACTTGTTTATCGCTCTCTCAGGGTTCTTTCAGTTTATGACTGGCAATCCACATGCTGTACAGCTAGTAAGAATCACATAAATACATCTTGTTATTCTGTCATCAGATTTGTATTGTTAGGAATAGTACACATTCACTAACATTTTGCAGTTTACCAATGTATTCTATTATTAACCATTTAAGGACAAGGTGGGTCTACAGTCCTTTCCTGCCAGATGCACACCCATGGAAACAGGTTTGGGGACTGCTTGTCGACTTGACCACTGACCGCAGATGTAACGGAACCCAACCATTCTTGGGTATATTCCGGTATACCGCAGCTTCCCCTGTCCGAACACCATCCACGGACCGCACCCTTGAAATCCCTCAGGAAAATAGACAGCACCCAGCTCTTCTTAAAACAGGAAACCAACTCTTTATTTTAACACAAAACACAGGATATATACAGAGGGCGGAGAGACAACCAGGAACAGGAAACATATCATCAACCCGCCCCATCAGTGGGAAGGGCTGCAGGGAATACATCATCAGCCAGCCCCATCAGTGGGAAGAGCTACAGGGAAACACCCCAACCAACCCAAGACACAGAACAATGGGATGAAGCACATGGCAAACAAACAATGGACAGCCATGTGGCCGAGAACAAAGAAATAGCCACATGGCAGTAGACAATGGGCA